CTTAATTAGAATATATCTGAGATGTTTGACAATATTTATCATTATAAAGAATGTGGATGGTCTTATTTTATGATAAAGATTATATTTTGTTTAAGAAACTTGTCTATTACACTTTATTGGAGAACAGCCATATTTTATTTCCTGTAGGAGCAACAATACTTGTAAAAGGAGTTATAAAACAAAACATCAATATATTTAGTAGCACTTTCTAAATTAGGCTACAGCCGAAACCGGTTTGGCTCAGTGGATAGAGCGTCGGCCTGCGGACTGAAAGGTCCCGGGTTCGATTCCGGTCAAGGGCATGTACCTGGGTTGCGGGCACATCCCCAGTAGGAGATGTGCAGGAGGCAGCTGGTCGATGTTTCTCTCTCATCGATGTTTCTAACTCTCTATCTCTCTCCCTTCCTCTCTGTAAAAAATCAATAAAAAATATATTAAATTAGGCTACAGATATTTTATTTTTTTTATAGAAGACCTCTGAAAAACAAGATCAGAATATACTTAGTGGCTTAAAAACTTAATCTGTGAGGTAATACACCATTCACTCATTTATACTGAGATTTGTAACAAAAGATTTTTAAAGGTAGGAGCTATTCATCAAATTAGGTCCCTTATTAAATTTTTTAAATAAAATTTATTGGGATAGCATTGGTTAATAACCTTATATAAATTTCAGGTGTACAACTTTATGACATCTGCATACTCTATTGTGTGCTCACCAGCTGAAGTCTAGTCTCCTTCTGTCACCATATATTTGACCCCCTTTACCCTCCTCATCTTTCCCCCACCCCCTTCCACTTTGGTAACCACCATTCTGTTGTCTGTATCTGTGAGTTTATTTGTTCATTTATTGCTTTTGGTTTTATATCCCCCATACAAGTAAAATCATACAGTTCTTGTCTTTTTCCACCTGATTTATTTCACTTAGTATAATACTCTCAAAATTCACCCACATTAGGTCAAATGGCAGTATTTCATCTTTTTTATGGCTGGGTAGTTTTCCATTGTATATATGTATCACATTTTTTTTTCAAAATTATAAGAGGAAGTTTGCTTAGAAAGTTATAGAGGTAGTAAAAGTGAGCCATAGAAGAAATGGGCTAAGGAAACAAGTTACAGAGGCAAGAGAAGGGCCCTTGGAGCTTAGGAAAGTACATGTGATAAGATTTGAGCACCTGCTCTGGGGGGGGAGGGGGGGAGAGGGGGGGAGAGAGAGAGAAAGAGAGAGAGAGAGAGCGCGAGAGAGCGCGCGAGCGAGCGCACGCCTGTGTGGTTCTTTTTTTTGTATTTTTTTTATTGATTTTTTACAGAGAAGAAGGGAGAGAGATAGAAACATCAATCAGCTGCCTCCTGCACACCTCACACTGGGGATGTGCCCGCAACCAAGGTACATGCCCTTGACTGGAATCGAACCCGGGACCCTTCAGTCCACAGGCTGACGCTCTATCCACTGAGCCAAACCGGTTAGGGCATCTTTTTTAGAGTTTAAGTATCAATCTGCAGGTGCAGGGGCCTCATGTGTGCGGGCTATGGCACCCTCCTGATCCTGCTGGATCTAGCTCCAGGAAGGGTGCTGGGGACATGCAAACATGGCCCTGCTGGTCAGCCAGAGAACCTGGATAGGACTTGGGCCCGCCATCCAAGTGCAGGAGAAATGTAAACAGTGGCGCTCACCGGTTTTTCCTGTCCTGGAGAGTTCCCTCAGCTCCTGGAGAGCTGCTGTGGTTCCCAGCCTCTTCTGTGTGGTCTCTCTTGTTTGTTGTGCAGAGGCTGTTCTATTGGCCCTCAGTTGTCTCTCAGGAGGAACTGCTCTAAATATAGGTATACATTTGATGTATTTTTGGAAGAGGGCAAGCTTAGCAACCTCCTATACCACCATCTTGGACTCGCCTCCAAAACAGTATTTGAGTTTTTGTGCACCAAGGCGAGTACTTCACCCACATCACTCACTCCGACCTAGTCCAGCCATGTGGGTCAGTAGCTCTGGCCCGGGGCCCTAAGCTGTGTTTTTCACATGCATTCAGCTTTGAAACATGCTGCTGTTCCATCACCCACACTCTGAGTAAGGAGGTTGTAGGATCATATTGTCTGAGACACAGACCATTTGATTCCAACTGAGGATTAAGATAAACATTTTATTTGACCCTATTCATTAGTTTTCTCCAAAAACACCTAGTAAAAAATATAATAAGGTACCATATAAAATGCCTTGAAGTATTTCTTTTGCAACAAAAGCTATGTAAATATGAGCTTGCTTGAAATTAGTAAAGACATAAACTTGAAAAGGAAATTCTGTTGGTGCTAAAGATCTTGTGGGTATTTTTTATTGAAAGATCATTTTCCTTCAATAGTGGACATTTTACATTAAAACTTTATACAACCAAAATCTAAAAATAATATTAAAATCACACTAAGGTATTTTCATGGTTAAGCCTCTACTTAATTTTATTGTTGGTAAAAATATTGCAAGACACTTGTAACGCTAATATTTCTGCTTTAAAATAAGCAATTAAGCTAAATGTCACAAGAAGAGACAATACATACTACAATTTGCTGATAACTGGCTAAAATGATAATTTAATAGTAATTAATGTATAAGAAACAATTGCACTTGAAAAATTTAAAAAGTAAACAAAAACTCTAGTTATATATATATATGTCTATGAACAGAGGTTAATCATCTATAACCTTGCCAAGGGAAGTGTGTGTATGTTTTAATTAAAAACAAATAAACAAAAAACCACCTGTGTATTTAACATTGCAATAGGATTTTTTTAAAAGTCTTGAATTTTTTGTTTTTACAGAATTTCCCCCATAGTTTGTTGATGAGAAAAGACTGCAACACAATTAGAGCAAAATAACACTTCATTGGTATTTAGTGCAAATTTGGAGTAATTTTTACATGAAATATTAAACATATATCCTTTAGAAGTTGTTGGAAGTAAATGCTGTGACTGTGCTTTCCTCAGTATACTCGTCTTTTAAAGATTTTGAAGGAAACTTTTTAACTGAGTTATTTCTCCTATTTCGTATGGGCTTTATGGTAAGTGAGCCAGTACAGAGAGCACTCATCTACCATTCTTCGTTAGATTTCTTTACTTGCTCTCTGCCATTACTGTGACATCCAAAACTGGTAAGATGATAGAAAAGGTCAATTCAGATGAATTACTGTAGCACTAAAATTCCAGGACTCAGGTGAAAAAACTCCTGTTAAAAAGTGTTATATTACTGAGGAAATCATTGAAACTAACAAATGTCTACATGTTTGACTTAAAAATGAACATCAGCTGGAAAACATGCAGTAGAATATTGCTTCCCATAGCGATAAAAAAAATTAAAGTTCCATTGATTCTTAACAGTCTGAAGGTCCAGTATATATATATAATATTAAATCCTACTTGCAAGAGTACGGCTATCCTTATGACCACACATGCCAGCTGCTACCATAAGGCCGAGCCATCGTCTCCAGAAAGAAAATGCCTTCTATATGGTAAATAACTGCCAGTCATCCTTTCTTTAAGGTAAATGGTAGAATAACAGCACAGAATAATAGCACATTGCCTGTTAAGTGAGCATAAAGGAGAATAATGATGCATAATAATAAAATGTGTTTTTCTGTAGGAGAGGAAAAAAGGATGTAATTTTCCTCGCACTGGGCAAAAGATCTGTACTTACACTTGGGAGTCAGGAGCTAAGAAAATGGGAATGTGCCAACACCACGAAATGTAAAATCAGCAGCAGCAATGTGTGGGCTTGCTGTCTGTCTGTGTTTCATGTAAAGCAAATTTAAGGAAATAGTGAATATATGTGGCTTTTCAATAGCCAGGTCCCTTCTTTGTATCACATGTGTATAATAACAAGGCCACTTAAAACTCTGAGATGTTTTTTAAAGGTAGCAAGGTGAATGCTCTGAATGATAAATGCTATTGAATATTTGACTCTGAATATGAATTAGTCAGTTATGGTAAAGAAGGAAACTTCCCACAGGAGATCCTTAGTACAAAGGCTCCAAATCTTATCTTCCTGTTAACTAAACAGCTGGGGGAGGGGGAATGGTTTTATTATTTTTCCCATCTCACTTTTGCTTCTTTGGGTGCAAAGAGTCTCCCTTCTCAGAGTTTTAAAATCTAGATTACAGTAGAAGCAGTGTATTCCAAGGTTCTCAACCTTGGATATATCAGAATTCATTTGAAGAGTTTTGACAGAATATACGTTTCTAGCCCTGTCCTCACAGTAGGCTGATGGAGCCTGGACATCTCAAGAACAACTGCACTAGATGGGGGGAGTTTCAGACAGAAAGAGAATTTGTAGTTTCCGTTTTTTACCATATTAAATAAAAATGTTCCCTAGGAGCCAAATGGGCCAAATGTTGAACATGTCCTGAAGGAGAGTCCTGGTGTAATGGGGCCTGTGGATCAGTGTGGAAGAGGTGTGGATGGATTCCCTTTCTGTGTTAGTTCAGGTTGGGGAAAATTCATGAAAACCAGACATGGGCACAGAGTTGGGAGCCAGACTGTGACTTGCAATTCAGTTACTGGCTGCTCTCAGGAGAACGAGGGTTCTTATTTCTCTCTCCCTGTGGTCCTTTCACCATTGCTGTAGAAAAAGATAGAAATCCTTAAATATGGCAGGGTAAAGGTTTTGGATGAAACTGGAGCACAAAGTCAAAAAACCATTATAAAGATTGGCAAAAGTACATGTTCAGTGGTGTGTGGGTGTCCATGTGTGGAAGGGCTATGGAATGGGGTGGCAGGCTCTCCTGAGGAGTTCTTAGGAGATCTTGCTTCCTGTGGTCCCTCGGACAGAACTTTCTCTTTAGAACTAGGAGGAGCTCAAGGCACCAGGACCTAGGGTTGTGCAAATACACTCTTACAAGGAATACCACCAGTTCAGTTTCTAAATGTTATTTTAGAGCCTATAAAACATGCTTCTTTTCCCTAGCTTGGTTTCTTTACCTCATATAAAAAATGAATAAATAAAAAGGACAAGAGAGGAGCCAATAACTGGGAATAGGAATGGAGAAGAGTCACTCTTTACTTAATAATCTGTGGGCAGTCGCTCCAGGCCTTGGCTTTCCTTTTGGCCAAAGCCAGCCAGGCTGGTTCTGTTGACACGGGAGCAGCATCTGGGGTGGAAAACCTCTTTGTGACTTCTTTCACCAGTGGCGCTGGGGGAGGCGAATCAGAGATCTCCACTGGGTTGCATTTTGAAGGAAAAGGAGAAAGGTATGAGTCAGAGCCACACTTTGATGTATCATACAATGGGATTCAGAAAGGAAAACTCAGTGAGACACTGGGCATCTTCGTTGAGAATTAGAGAAAGCAAGCTATGTGATTATAACTGTTAACGTGCAACATTATAGTGATCACAGTGCAGTCAGTCCTAATTTCAGATAATTTCTAGAAGCATTTTTTTTCTGTGCACAGAAGCTAGGTCTGCATGATAATAAAAAATAAAAGGTAAATTTTGTAATTCTAATCATATAGCCAATCAATGTCATGAAGAAAACGATCAAACAAGCAGTTTGGATTTACCAAGCTGGTGAGGTCAAAAGTGCCCGCCCTCACCAGGCACGCCTGGGGTTCCTTCCCCCTCAGGCCCACAGATCCTGCCAGCTCTGAGGACTCTCAGTCTTGTCTAGCAATTCTTTTGCCTCATATTGCTTTCTTACCACGTCATAAACACTTCTTAAGGTGAGGGTTCCCACCCCAAGCAGACCTCAGGAACTACTGGTGGGAAAGACAAATACAGTATTTCAGAACAAGGCTAGCTATCATAACTGGAGCCACCTGAACTGCAGTAACCCTTTGGAGCAGTGGTTCTCAACCTGTGGGTCGTGACCCCTTTAGGGGTCAAACGACCCTTTCACAGGGGTCGCCTAACACCATCGGAAAACACATATATAATTACATATTGTTTTTGTGATTAATCACTATGCTTTAATTATGTTCAATTTGTAACAATGAAATTGGGGGTCACACCACATGAACTGTATTAAGGGGTCGTGGCATTAGGAAGGTTGAGAACCACTGCTTTGGAGCTTCTAAGAAATCAGGGCAGAGAAAGGCGTAATCTCTGATTTTGGAGCTTCTCACTTAATTTTGAACTAATTCTCTGACACACCCACATAATGTATAGAGCCCTTAATTCCTGGGTATAAAAGCCTAATGAAATAATACCCATGGAGGTTCTTGAGAAATTGTACAGTGCTCCAAAGCGGTTTCCAAAAAAACTGTTTTCTCCTCACCAAATAGTAAATAAAGCTTTCATGGTGAGACCTCTTTACATTTCCAGAACTCAGCACGCAGGTAACCAAGGCGTACAAAAACCCTGGGTCTGGAGGTTGGATGCCCTCCTGGGAACAGGGCTGCCCAGGGTGCACAACAGGCCCTATTAACCCTGGAGGAAACTTGTTTAGATTCATCCCTCCTCCAGGCGATTTGTAATAAGCACATAGTTGGAAACATTATGGATCATTTTACCTTTTATTAGAATAAAGGATTTTTAAAAAATGTGTAGGTATCTTTTATAAAGTGTCATGAACGTATCAACACTGCTGTTGTTAATTAACATCCAGGACTTTGAGCCGAACAACCTTGCTCTCTGGTCACAGCTGGTCAGACACTTGCCCTTTGAAATCGCATTGGCGAAAGGGACCATCCATCCCACTTTGGAGCATCTCAGCCACCTGGGTCACTGACTCAAACACAGCTTCTGTTTCCATCCCAGCTACAGAGCTCCAGGTGGGGTTTTCAGATACAACTTTCACACATTTATTTTAACGTTGTAGTGCCAGGAAAACGGGGCCCTGAGTCTACTTTTCAACTCAGGCTTGATATCAACCCCTTCATGTACACCCCACACCCTCGCTTTGCTTTAAGCCTATCAAAACTCTGCTCCACTTAAATTTTACCTAAACTTCACCCTTTTCCCCAAATCCTACTAGAATCGTATCTCTTCCTTTGTTTAGAGGTCCTTAAGATATGTAGTCTCCCTTACTACAGCAAGTTAATAAACCTAGTTGTTGGACTACAGGCAGTGGGGCACTGGAGATGACTCATATCACACCTTGTTAACTTCAGAAATTTATCAGACCACATTGATAGGTTGAAACTGGCCATGGTGGGAATATTTACACCACAGTACATGGCACATACTACAAATCAGAGGATTCTCTGCTCCCTAACTGATTACTAAAACAATGGCCATCACACCACTGACAGTGAGTTTCTGGTGGTCTTTGTCAGATGAGCTGATGATCAGTGTCTAAGTTTATGAGAGTGGTGGTGAAACAGCCTGTGCTGTTATTACACCTGAGGAAATAAAGCATGCTCCAAGAAGAGAAACCTGTAACTGAGGTCAAACAGAAATGGTCCTGCTCTTGCTACCTGTCACAGATGTGGGAAGGGTGTTGGCCTTTTTCAGCTGCTCTCTGCGCTCAAGCCTGGACCCTGCTGTCTCCGGCTTCTTGTCTTCTGGATGAGCCATGGACTTGAGCAGGGATCCAGCTCTGCTGACACTGCTGCTTCCTGGCTGTGGACTGACACTGACCTGGGTGGGCACAGAAAGGAAAAGTATGTTTTCAACCTAAGTACATGCAAAGACGCACAGTGCAGACCTGGGGGGTTCTGCCGGTCAGCACCAGCCTCTGTTCCCAAAGGAGCGGTTGGAGTGCACTTGGGAGCGACGTGTCTCCAACCCTGGCCCCGATCATGAAGCAGCTCAGTACAAATGTCCCCAAGAGGGAACGCAGCTTTCCTCGAAGAGCCCCGTCAAGTTAACTGTAAAAGCAGGGTCCCAGAGAGAGACTGATTTCCTCCAAAGCCCTGCTCCCACACAATCATTTTCATATTCCTCACGTAACTGTCGTGTGTGTGGATTGTTGCTACTAATTACATTGTGAATTCTGCCAAATCAAGTTACCTTAATAGCATAAGGGAACTGAATAAAATTTCTGACTGAAAATGCTTTCCTAATGGTGGTTAATTGTTTATTGCTCTATTCTTTCTAGATATTCTACACCACTCCCAGTTAGCCTTTTTTTCAAAAAAATTTTTTAAAATTGATTTGAGAGAGGAATGGAGAGGGAGAGAGAGATAGAAACATCAATGATGAGAAGCAGCTGCCCCTTACTGGGGATCGAGCCTGAAACCCTGGCATGTGTCCCGACTGGGAATCGAACTGTGACCTCCTGGTTCATAGGTGGACATTCAACCACTGAGCCCCACTGGCTGGACTTTCTTTTCCTTTTTTAAGTTCTTGCAGCCATAAAAGAGCCAAGCTCAGAAAGGCAAGGTTAAAGCTGAAGACCAGGCTACTCACGTTGTCCTTGGAGAGCTTTTCTGCCTGTTTGGCCTCCCTCGCTTGCTTCCTCTCCTCTCGAGTCGCTTGCTGCTCCCGAAACCCCTTCTGCTTTTGCAGGGCTAACGTTATCCACAGTGGCTGCGCAGTTTCAACTTTCTCCACAAGTTTGGAGCCATCTAAAGAGTGTCTGCTCTGAAGCACCGGCTTTTCTGTGGGGGAAAAAAGACTGATATTGTGATTTGTGATAAGAAATACATATTTGGTCTTTGTCCTGTTTCTGGCACAGAGCTAAGTGATGACAGCGTAAAGGTGTCTCATGTTATGTGAATGAGGCTACTTTGGGACCACACTTAAGGATGGGGGGCGCTGGTTGCTGGGTGAACCAACCGAGTGATCAGAAGATTAGAATTTACAATCTCACCCCCCAATCTCCTGGGAGGGGGGAAGCCTGGAGGTTGAATCAATGGCCAAAGATCTAACCAATCATACCTGTGTAATGAAGTCTCCATAAAACCCCAAAGGTCAGGGTTTGGAGAGCTTCTGGGTTGGTGACGAGGTGGAAGTGCTGGGAGGTTGGCCACCCAGAGAGCATGGGATCTCCCCGCCCTTTCCCCATACCTTGTATCCTTGTATGCATCTCTTCCACCTGGCTGTTCCCGAGTTCTATCCTTTTATAACAAACCAGTGATCTAGTAAGTCAAATGTTTCTCTGAGTTCCATGAGCCACTCGAGAATATTAATCAAACCCAAGGAGGGGGTTCCTGGGAACCTCTGATTTTAACCAGTCAGAAGCACCTGGATCTGAAGGTACAGCCTTATGGGACTAAGCCCTTAACCTGTAGAATAGAACACCATCTTGAGTTGAATTGTAAGACACCAGCTGGTGTCTGAGAATTGCTGGTGGTGTGGGACTCCCTCCCCTGCAACACACACCTTTGAACTGTGACCAGAATTAGTAAAGGCAAAAGCCAGCTTTCAGTGAAATGAACTGTTCTCGTACCTCAGTACCTCACCCCCTAAAACTTGTGACGTATTCATCAGCCCGCTGAACATTCAACTGGCCCTTCCTAGTAAAACTCCATGCTCATGCCTGAGCGACTCCACTGGGTAGGAAAGTACTATCTTTGATCAACAGAAACAAGAGCCTTTCTCTTCCCTCTAAAGAGAAAAAAATCTCGTGTCATAAAATCTCAGACCCACCAGGGACCCAGGGGGTTATTTGATTCATTGTTCTTTTTTAATTTATTGCTTTTCAAAATTTGTGCAAAAACTTTTCCCCCTTACAAACAGTATCCTATGTTGAACCCCAAAGTATGAAAGAGGAAAATGGGGGCACTGCTCTGCCCCAGGGGCTGCTAAGGGCAGCAGGGCTCTGAGGAACCCAGTGGGAACCATGATTTTGGCCCAGTGCCCTCCTTTGATAGACGTGAGTATTGAGGTCCACAGTGACCAAGTCCCGTGTCCGAGGTCACCCAGCAGTTAGTGTACAGGCTGAATTGTGAACCGTGGGCTTCCGGCTTCCAGCCTGTGTTTCTCTTACATTGACTGTCTTGCCTATGCAACTGGGGTAAACACACTTCACAGATGGGTGGTAGCTGAGGTTGGGCTCTAGAACTGAGCAGACCTGGGTTTGACCTTTTGTGACCTTAGGAAAGCTACTTAACTCCTCTAAGAAGGGAGACACTTTAATTTGAAATAGTGTTTGGAGTTCTGATTGTGACACTGGAGGGGACATATTAATTACTAACATGAGACTGTTGTTACTGCAAGTGCCTAGGGGACTTTTTCTTTTCAAAAAGTGACAGAAACTATAGGAAGAACTCCGACCGCTTAACAACAAAAAACAAAATACCCAATTAAAAATGAACAAAGGACTGGAATAGACATTTCTCTTAAGAAGACATACAAATGACCAACAAGCATATAGAAAGATGCTCAACATCACTAATTACTAGGGAAATGCAAATCAAAACCACAATGAGGGTATCACCTCGCACCCATTAGGATGGCTACCGTAAAAAAAAAATCAACAGAAAATAACAAGTGTTGGCGAGGATGTGGAAAATTAGAATTCTGTGCACTATTGGTGGGAATATAAAATGGTACAGCTGGTGTGGAAAACAGGTTAGTTCTGAAAAAAATTAAAAATAGAACTACCATAGAACCTGGCAATTCCATTTCTGGGCTTTTATCCAAAAGTACATGGGATGTTTGCACACCCATGGTCATAGCAGCACTAGTCAAACGAGCCAAGCGGTGCAAGCAATCTAAGTGTCCATGGACAGATGAATGGATAAACCAAGTGTGGTATATACACACAAGGGTAGGTCATTCAGCTTAAGAAGGAAGGGAATCCTGTCATATGCTACAATATGGATGAACCTTGAAGACATTGTACTAAGTGAAATAAGCCAGTCACCAAAAAAGACAATACTAGATGATTCCACTTATGTGATGCTTCTAGAGTAGTCAGATTCATAGAAACAGAAAGTTGAATGTTGTTTAATGCTTATAGAGTTTCAGTTTTGCAAGATGAAAAATTTGCTGTGTACAATGTGAAATATGCTTAAGACTACTGAACTGTACACTGAGAAAAGATAGCCAATTTTATGTTACACACTTTGACCACAATAAAAATTGTTTTCTAAAGTGACTAAAAGAACTGTGCCCAAAATATTATCCAAGAGATGCAGGGAAAAATGAGAATCATAGATCAGGTTTAAAAGAACTGCAAGAAAAGGAACAAGACAAGAAGACTTTGCTAAATCCTACGGCATTTTTAAACAATGTTGTTTTGAACAAATATATGAGTAAGGTCCAAGAAGTAACATGAGGACATAATGAGAAATGTTTTTAAAGGCTAACAGCATTTTAGAAATGCCAGGTGAGAGTTACTGGAGGCGGTCCTAGGTTACTGGGAAGATCATTTTACCTGGGAGAGAACTCTTCCCCAAACTGGCTTTACCACTGTGGGGAGCAGGCAAGTCATCAGACTTCTCAGATGTTGGTGTTGTCATCTGTAAAACTGAGCTAAGATTGTCTACCTCTACATATGCCGTGAGGCTGAACTAAATGTTATAAAACACTTTGTAAATGATTAAGCACAAAGGATGACTGTTGAAATTTTCCAAAGCAGTAAAATCACTCATTTCATTCAAGGTTTTGAAAGATAGAGATGTTCTTTGTTAATCACATAACCTCTTTGGTCGGGGAGTTCAGAATATCTCATTAAAATTTTATTTTGTTGCAGTGTTTAAACCTATTCTCTCTCATTCTAAACTCAGTGGACAAGCAGAACCACAGCCCACTTAAGTTCCCTCCTTCAGGTCCCGGGGAGACACGCAGGCATCTCCTGGCATTTACGGGGTTCTAGTCATTGCTCCCCAGGGTCAGTGCTTGGAGAAAAGGCCAGTTACTATCTGTTCTACCCGCCATCAGGGGCTCAGGGGCTGTGAGTTTCCGAATGAGATATCTGTAATCAAAGTGTTACAGGAGAAACACGGCGGGGGGTGGGGGGGATGGGGGGGTTGGGCGATCATTGCTATTTTAATTCCCATCAGGATTGGTTCAGAGTCTCCGCCCTCCCAGTGTCTTCCCCTTGGTATTGGTCCTCACTGGCCTCGGTCCCAGGAATAGAAACCTCTTTCTAAAGCAGTGGTCTCAAACAAAAAGGGTGTGTGTGCCCTAGGGGATGCGCAAGGCCATTCACTGGGGGTAAAGGAAGAAAAGCTTAGAATTTCTATTTATATATCTTTTAAAAATATAAAAATAAAAGTGAAATCAAGCTTTTCTAATCTAATCTAATCTAATCTAAGACAAACATGCAAATTGACCATACCTTCGCTATGCCCCAAGCCACACCCACCAACCAATCAGTGACTATATGCAAATTAACCCAACCAAGATGGCGGCCAGCAGCCACAGAGCTGGAGCAAGCAGGAGGCTTGGTTGCCCCAGCGATGGAGGAAGCCAAGCTTCCTGCCTGCCCTGGCCAGCTCTGGCCTCCACTGAAGGCAACAAAGTTTCAATTATAGAAGCTAAATAAATCCCAGATACCTGCTTCCAGCCAGCCTTCACTGGGAGCTTGGGTGGCTGGGGGCCATGGCCAGCCTGCAAACAGCCATCAGCCCCTCACCCAGACTGGCCAGGCACCCCAGCAGGACCCCCCACTCTGAAGGGGCTGTGGCCAGCCAGAAAACGGCCCTGAGCCCCTCACCCAGGCTGGCCAGGCACCCAAGTGGGGACCCCCACACTGAAAGGGCTGTGGCAAGCCTGCTAACAGCCATCAGCCCCTCACCCAGGCTTGTCAGGAACCCCAGGGGGGGACCCCTAACCTGAAGGGGCTGTGGCCAGTCTGAAAACGGCCCTCAGCTCCTCACCCAGGCTGGCTAGGCACTCCAGCGGGGACCCCCACCCTGAAGGGAGCGTGGCCAGTCTGAAAATGGCCCTCAGCCCCTCACCCAGGCTGGCCAGGCACCCCAGCGGGCCCCCACCCTGATCCGGACACCCTTCAGGGCAAACCAGCCGGCCCCCAGCCATGCACTAGGCCTCTATCCTATATAATAAAAGGGTAATATGCAAATTGACCCTAACAGCAGAACCACTGGGAATGACTGGTCACTATGACACACATTGATCACCAGGGGACAGATGCTCAATGCAGGAGCTGCCTCCTGGTGGTCAGTGTGCTCCCACAGGGGGAACTCTGCTCAGTCACAAGCCAGGCTGACGGCTGCCAGTACAGCGGTGGTGGTGGGAGCCTCTCCCGCCTCCTCAGCAGCGCTAAGGATGTCCGACTGCAGCTTAGGCCTGCTCCCTGCTGGCAAGTGGGCATCCCCTGAGGGCTCCTGGGCTTCCAGAGGGATGTCTGACTGCCAGCTTAGGCCCAATCCCCCGGGGAGCAGGCCTAAGCCAGCAGGTGGTTATCCCCTGAGGGGTCCCAGACTGCGAGAGGGCACAGGCCAGGCTGAGGGACTCCCCCTCTGAGTGCACAAATTTTTGTGCATCGAGCCTCTAGTATTTGATGTTTAGACTGGCATTGACATTCTCACTCAGCCCATAGACCGGAAGGCCAGGTACAACAAATGGCATGTGTAGAGACTCCCGGGGGAAGCTGGGAGCGCTCAGACGAGAACCAGCAATCCTGTCCTCACTGGCTTGGCTTTAAGCATACGGCGAGGAGTGAGGTTCTGCGGTTAGGTAAGTTTATGAATGTCCCATCTCCTTTGATCTTTATGAAATGGACAATTCCTGCAAACAGACCACAGATTTACTCTACTTCCTAATGCAAGCATGAGGCCACAGTAGAGCTGACAAGCAAGCTCTTTGCCTGCCACTTTGTGAAGAAATCAGATCTGACAAGAAGTTGGCCAAAGAAATAAAAGATAATGCCACAATTTGCAATATGGATTTACATCCTCTACTGCTTCAGTGAACTGCACCCTAAGTGTGTATATGGCGCTCCAGGGGTTTTAACATGGACACAGTTAACAAATAAATTGGAGAACCAGGCAATTTATTCCAATGGGGTGTTTAGTCAAACAAATTTGGTCAGCCCTGGTCTAGAGTCAGACAGAAGAGTCTTTAGGCAGCAACCAGTCACAAGGCATACGGCCCTTGTTTTCATGCTTCTTTTCTACCAAATAAAGAAAAAGTCAGTTAGTGGAGCCTGACAACCTAGAATCTGGATACTGATAAAGAAAACAGGGGCAGGAATAGCTTTTGGTAGAAAATTATAACCAAAGGGAAAAGTGTAAGAGAAAGATGCAGCATTGGAACATTATTTTTTAGGGGAGAAGATAGGAGTGTGCTGGAGCAGGCCAGGCTGTGAGAGGGGCTTTGATGACTACAAAAGTTACCGGTGCAAAAGCTAATGTGAAAACTAAAAGTGGGGGCCTGGCCGGTATGGCTCAGTGGTTGAGCATGGACCCAGGCACCCAGAGGCTTGAGTCTCCATTCCGGGTCAGGGAACATGCCCGAGTTGCAGCCTCTATCCCCAGTAGGGGGCGTGCAGGTGGCAGCAGATGGATGATTCTCTCTTATTGCCGTTTCTATCTCTCCCTCTCCTCTCTCTCTCTCTAAAAATCAATAAAACATATTTTAAAAAACTAAAAATGGGTGTTCTGGTTCAGGATGGTGACATAGGGTCCCGAACCCCCTCCTCCCACAGACATACCGAGTCTGCAGCTACATACAGAACAACTGCCTCTGACTAAAATCCAGAAACTAGTTGAGTGACCCCTACACATTGGGCCAGTGGTTCTCAAATCAAATCACCTGATCCCTGGGCCTCATCCTCTGGAAATTCTGTTTCTTTGTTGCTAATGTTGTGGCCCCACCCCATAACAAAGAAACAGAATTTCTGGAGGATGAGGCCCAGAAATCAGGATTTTAAAAAGATTCCCAGGTGATTCTAATGTGCAGCCAAGGTTGAGAGCCACTGCATTGGGCAAATGAACAGGAGAGACTGAGACACAATTTCACCATAAATCCCACCCCAGGCATTGCAACTCACAACCTGGGGGGAGGAAAGGGGGCGGGGGTGGACCCTACATTTGGTGCCTCAAATTCTAAGACTTCTGCCTGAGAGACAAGGCCCCCCAAATACCTAGCTCTGAAAGCCAACGGGGATTGCGTCCAACTAAGGGACCTCTCTTAATGGGCTCCCAGGGACTCACTGTGGCTATCTCCCCGGGGCCCAGTGCAGAGGCTGAAAGGAAAACCAAAGGCTGAAAAACGGGCTCCTCACTGTCAGGACAGACAGAAACCATCAGGGAGAAATGGTTTGGAAACTGCTGGTCGACAATCCAGGAAACCGGTCAAGTCTAGGTTAAGTCGGGTGGCAGGGTGAGCAACCAACAAATACCCCTCAGGACACAGGCTCTTTTCTCTGCAAGAACCACCCTAACCCTAAACAATTAAACAGAAGAAATAAAAAAAATCCCTCCCTAAAACACCTCAGGGGAGAATTTCTCTGAGATGTGAGAATTCTGGGCTATGGCCACACTTGGCCTGCTCTGCAAAACAGAAGTGAGAACTACCAGGTAAAAGCTCTTAGGGGTCCCAAAGCCAATCCAAGTGGCCAGGGAGCGGTCCCAAACATCCGGTCTGAAGAGCCAAGAGGGGCAGCCAGGAGTGAGGGTGGCTCTACAATTTCTCTACTGGAGGGCTTCCCAGTGGCAAGCTGGTGGCGTGGGGGTGCCGTTGTAGAGCATTTTGCATAAACCTGAGACCCAGCCAATTATTCACGCAGAGGCCCAGGCCGGTGGAGCTGCTGGAAGCCCCCTACCTGCCTACTGTGGTATTGCTACTGCCCAGAGACAGCAGTGATAGTCTAGGCAAGCCCAGTCTTTACCCTCACTGCCCCTCCCAATGACCGGGGCATCTTCATTCATTGGGGTATTTCATTGCCGTGGGCACCTTTAACTTGTGTTCGGTAAATATGAATGGGCGTGAGCCCCAGATATATAGCAGAATCAGTTCGGATTTCCAAAATGGTGAAGAAGAGTGGAAAAGTGATGAGAAAAATTTGGGAGTGTCCTAAATTAAATTACAGTGGGCCAGAAAAGGGGAGAGAGATGTAAGGGAGGTCCACCAGGTAATGACTGTCGGCAGAAACAAAAGACTGCCTCCAAGCCTGAATGGACGCTGAAACTTCGCATCAGCTTCCAGATGGCGTTTATCTGAGGGACTTGGCTGACGGCCCAGACGCCACCACAGCTTGCTTACGCACCAGCTTTCGGACTGTTGTCCCACAGCCAATCCAAAAGTAGCAAATGCAGTGGAACCTCGGTTCTCAAACTTAATTAGCTCCGGAAGGCTGTTTGAGAAGCGGTTTGTTCAAAAACTAAATCATTTCCCCCATTTTAAAGAAATAATGTAAACTGAATTAATCCATTCCAGACCCCCCAAATGACTCCCTGTTTTAACCTTTCTTGTATATAGTACATGTCTAATGTACTGCTTAATCCATAAACAAACACTGCTTTTCTTACATTTATTGAACCACCTGCTACTAGCCTTAAAGGAATCACTTTCAGCACTCATTCCAGAGATGTCTTTCAGGTCAGAAGCAGCGTATCTTTGCTTGTTCATATATCACTGCCTCGGAAATGCTGTCACTGGCCACCTGCTTTTCCTTTATCCAAATCAACAGTTTTTCTGCCTCTTCAATTGCCTGTGATCCTTGCTTCTTTCACACCCTTAGCAACATCAGCACCGTTGAGGGCCTCTTTATCTTTTCAGATTGTGCTAATCATCGATTTCACCAGCTACAAAAGCACTCTCTCCTTGTTTGTTGCCTGAGAGATGCTTTTTGTCATGAAGTATAAGCATGAAGGGGTTTTCAGGTCAAAACCCGAAGACTGGTTCGACAACCGACATTTTTTTTTCTGTGAATAGCTTGGTTGGGAATCGAATTGTTCAAGATGGGAGACGTTCGAGAAATGAGGTGTGACCGTAATCCTTCCTTAGGAACCCTGCACCTATCCCAGGACGTCTCTGCTTCGCCTTTCCACCTTCTCTATACCCAAGGGAAAGCCTGGCTATAGACGAACCACTCACCTCGTCCTTCCCCACATCCATGGCATGGAAAGCTCGGGGACATGCTTGTCTTCACCTGGCCCTGCTGCTGCTGCTGGCTCAGACTGCTTGCCCCCCGGCCCTAGTCCCCTTTCCAGCCAGCATGTGGCTCAATCAACTTTCCAAAAAGCTTTGGGCCACAGACGTTTCCTCTTCACAAAAGTAAAGAGCCTCAATAAGATTCCCTCCCTCCAGGAATGGCAAATGGGCTTCTCATGAAGGGAACTGCTGCCACTGGAGCTCCACTGGCTACTTCCGGCCTTGGGCAGCCTGGCTTTAGCTGTGACATGGACAACCAGCTGGACAGAGGCAGTTTTCCGACCCAGGGCTACCTACCTTTCCTCCCGGCCTCGGGCGTTTGGGGAGGCTTCTCCTGTGGGGCTGCAGACAGAGCAGGGGCAGCAGCTTTCCTCTCTGCTTCCACCTCTTCCTTCTCTTCCCTCCTGGGAGGTGGTGGCGAGCGTGGCCCAGGCTCACGGCGCTCCTGGCCTTCCTTGCACAGCTCGCTGGGCTCCGGGTCAGGCTTCCCCGGCCGCCGAGCCAGCAGCTCTACCAGGTAGGGCCTGCTCAGCTTGCAAAGCGGGGAGGTCGGTGGCGTCTGACCGGAGGGCTTGGGCGCCAGGGCTGGCTTCTGCGCCATCGGCATTCTGTTTGCTGCCTTGGTGTGCTCCGGGGCCGGGGTCTGGCTGCTGACCGGTGAGGGTCCAGGCTGGGCTGTGGGAGGGGGGCTGGAAGGGCTTACGGCAGAGTCCTTCCAGCTGCCGGGGCCTTGCTTGCTCTCTGCGGGGAGGGATGGGCCACGCTTAAGGGCCGGTGCACCCTCTGCCGCCTTCTCTCCATCCGTGCACGCTGGTGCCGGCGGCCCCCCCTCTGCACTGTCCCCAGCGCTGCTGTTCCTCTTTTTCTTCTTCTGCTCTGCCTGCTGGTCGCAGTGGAAGCGCAAGGAGTAGTTGGTCCTTCTCAACTTTATTCCAAAAGGTGAGGAGGCTTTTTCCTCCCCACCTGTCAACGCGGCGTCCGGCTTTCCTGCGCCACTGGCGGTCTCACTGCCCGACGCGGTCACGGGCTCCGCCTGGGCCACCGCTTTCTGCGGAGGGTACGGAGGGCTCGGAACAAGGAAGGATGGAAGGTCTTTGGCAAATTTGCAGCCCTCGGTGGTGTCTGCTGGCTCCTGGCACGCCCCCACATTCTCTGGGCCTTTCTGGGGCTCATCGCTCTCAGCAGCCAGGGGCGGGGGCGCTGTCTGGTCGCTGGCTCCCAGCCCGGGCCTTTTTCTCGTGCTTTCAGCTCCCGCGCTCTGTTTGGAGGTCTCTGCGCCCCCATCCGAGAACTTCTGCCAGGCAGGCATGATCGAGAACTTGGCGTTTCCTGGCGGGGTCTTCTGGAGGGTCCCCCGGGAGTCACTGCGGCCCCGGGGCGCGGGCTCATCCCCAGGCGGGGGCTGGTCTCTCTTGCCGCGCGGGTCGCCCTCCGCGCTCTTCAGGATGCGGGACCGAATGGACGCCCACTCGGCCAGGGCAGCCGCGCTGCTCGCCGACTCCTGGGGGGGCCTGGCCTTCCCGCCGCCGCCAGTCCGGGGGTCGGCCGGGGCGCGGGGTGGGTGGTCCAGGGTGGGGGCGTCCCCGTGCTTCTTTTCCTCCGACAAGCCCAGCAGAGACTTGCACGCCGTGTCCTTGATCTGGGTCAGGTTGACGGCGGGGCCGCACAGCTGGGCCCCCGTGACCAGGATGGCCGTGTGGGGGATGCTCAGCGACGAGGGCAGGGCGTGGGGGGCCGGGCTGGCCCGGGGGCCCTTTGGCTGGTGGGGAGCCGAGGCCAGTCCCGCGTCTTTCGTGGGCGTCACGGGGCTCAGGTTGACTTTGGGGAAGAGAATCTGTTTGCCTCCCGAGGACACCTGGAAAGTGTAGGGCCGGGGCATGGTCTGCCGCTCCTCCACCTCCTGCCACCTCAGCTCCTCCACCCTGCGGTCTCTGTCCCGGGCCGGCGCCTCGCCCCCGCACGCCCCTGGTTTCTGGGGAGGGGGTGTTCGGGCTTCGCCTCTCTCTTCCGGGCCCGCACACCCATCCTTCCCGCGAGCATCCCCCCGCTGCGCCTGCGGCTCTCCGGGGGGCTCAGCCTCGGGACTCTGCTTCCCGCAGGCCCTTGGTGCCTCGGCGTTCTCTCTTTGCTTGTCCGGCTTCAGGAGCTCTGGTTCCCCTGCACAGGCCGTCTGAAGCGGGCTCCTGTCGTCCGCCCCCAGCCCACTCTCCTCCCCTCTCCGTGCTCCCTGAGGCTCCCTTTCCGCTTCCCGCCGCCGCTGCGCCTCCACTTCCTCCTGCCTTTTTCTCAGCTCTTCCCTTCTCCTTGCTGCCTCCTCCTCTTCCTGCCTTCTGAGCTCCTTCCTCCGGTTCTCTTCTTCCTCCCGCTGCCTCTGATCCTCCTCCTCCCGCCTCTTCCTCTCCTCCTCCTCCCGCAGCCTCTGTTCCTCCTCTTCCCGCCTCTTCCTCTCCTCCTCCTCCTTCTGCAGCCTCTGTTCCTCCTCTTCCCGCCTCTTCCTCTCCTCCTCCTCCTTCCGCAGCCTCTGTTCCTCCTCCTCCCGCTTCTTCCTCTCCTCTTCCTCCAACCGCTGCTTCTCCGCTTCCCGCCGCCTCTGCTCCTCCAGCTCCTCCAGTCTCCTGAGTTCCTTCAACTCTCTCTCCTCTGCTTCCTGCCGCCGCTTCTCTGCCTCCTGTCTGCTCCGCGCCTCCAGCTCCTGGTGCGCGAGGCTCTGCAGCCGCTCAGCCTCTTCCTCCGGGGTCTCCTGCTCTCCAGCTTCCTGGGGCCCGCCTTCCGCTGGCTCCCTGCACTCTGGGGCTGGGCTACCTTGCTCGTCCAGCCTCCGCCTTTCCTCTGTGCACTGCCTCTTCCCTGCCACTGGCTGTGTTTCTCCCTCCTCTTCCTCTTGTTCTTCTCCTTCCTCCTCCAGGAGCTCCTGCCTGCGGTTCTCTTCCCAAAGCCGCTGCTCCAGGGCCCGGAGCCTCTGCTCCTCCAGGCGTCTCCTCTCGGCTGCCTCCGCCTTCTGCCGCTTGCACTTGGCCTCCAGTTCTCGCCAGTATTCTTCCTGGCATCTCTTCTCCTCGGCGTCCAGAGGCTCCGGCTCCTCTTCGTGCCACATCAGCTTGTCTTCTCCAGGGTGTCCGTTCTGGTCCAGGGACAGCTGGCTCGGAAGGCCTCCTTGTTCATTTAGTCGAGCCTAATGTTGGCAAGGGAAACAATTAGCTTTCTCCTTGTACACAGGTAACCATCCCTCATCCTAGTCACTATGCAGGTGGCCCTCTTACTCTCCTGGTTTGGGGACAGACTTTTAAATGCCCTGGCGTGGCCCCTGGGAGCCCTGTCCACTGACCTCCTGCCCTTGGACTGTGGCAAAAGGGAGCCCTTTGCTTTTCGGGACATGGGGTCAGGGAACGCAGCAGGGCCCTGCCATTTTAGGTGACTCTTAAGGGTCTTCCTTGCTTCTTTCTCACTTAAACAGCAGGAAATCCCTTTTGCTACTGCTCAGAGGGGTTGTTTTCTGGCTCACAACTTGGTCATTTCTCCAGGGGTTGTCTTGAGTTCACTAGAATGTAAGCTCCAGGAGCTCTGTAAGGGAAGGGATTTTTGTCTGTTTTGTATTCTGCTGTATTATCACTAGGGCCTAAGTCAGTGTCATAATAGGTGCTCAATAAAAATGTGTTTGATGAGTAAAGGAGAAAAAGAGAAGGGGCAGTTCTAAGTATAGAGACAGGTAAACTCAGGCCCAGAGTAGATTGTGGGGGTGGCAGGAAGACCTTCATGTTTATTTCCTTTATTTGTCATTCTCAAATTCCTTGTTCTTAATGTGAATACTCGCAGGAAAACCAATAGTCCAGTATTAGAAGAGAATTAGTGCCCGGCAAGCAAGGGCAGCTGCCTGGTCAGCTAGGATGGGCTCTACATACCCCGGCAAGTCCAAGTCGCCTGTGCTTCTTTGACACCCTCTGGTTTTTTGGCTTAACGGACAGTTTGTGCTTGGCGGCACTGTTGTCCAAGCGAGCGATGGCCAAGGGGATGGCATCCAGGTTGACACTTTCGATGGTGCCAGCAGAAGAGAAGTGCCTTTTTGGCCGAGAAGGTTTAGCTGGAGCTGCCTGTGGTGGAGATTAAAATATTTAATCAGCCCTGGCTGGTTTGGCCCAATGGATAGAGAGTCGGCCTGCGGACTGAAGAGTCCCGGGTTCAATTCCGGTCAAGGGCACATGCCCGGGTTGTGGGTTTGATCCCCAGTGAGGGGCGTGCAGGAGGCAGCCGATCAATGATTCTCTCTCATCATTGATGTTTCTATCTCTCTCTCCCTCTCTCTTCCTCTCTGAAATCAATAAAAAATATATATTAAAAAATCCTATCTAATAAAGAGGTAATATGCAAATCGACCATCACTCCAACACACAAATGGCCGCCCCCACGTGGACACAAGATGGCTGGCGGGGGAGGGCAGTTGTGGGTGATCAGGACAGCAGGGGAGGGCAGTTAGGGGTGACCGGGCCCGCAGAGGAGGGCAGTTAGGGACAACCGGGCCTGCAGGGGAGGGCAGTTGGGGGCAACCAGGCCTGCAGGGGAGGGCAGTTGGGGGCAACCAGGCCAGCAGGGGAGGGCAGTTAGGGGCAATTGGGCCAGCAGGGGAGCAGTTAGGTGTCGATCAGGCTGGCAGGGGAGTGGTTAGGGAGTGATCAGGCTGGTAGGCAGAAGTGATTAGGGGCAATCAGGCAGGAAGGCAGGCGAGTGGTTGGGAGTCAGCAGTCCTGGATTGTGAGAGGGACGTCCGACTGCCTGGTGGGATCGGGCCTAAATGGGCAGTCAGACATCCCTCGAGGGGTCTCAGATTGGAGAGAGTGCAGGCTGGGCTGAGGGACACCCTACCAGCCCCAGTGCACAAATTTTGTGCACTGGGCCTCTAGTATATATATAATCAGTCTGAATCAGAAAACAACCTGCAGGGAATCCGGGGAGGGAAGCACTTTTTTGGTGCCTGTGCCTCACCCCGCCTAGTGAGGGGGCTCACTGGGACCGTGAAATGAGCAATGCTCTTGGAATCAAGACAGAATGTTAACTACTGGCTCTGCCAGTGCTATTTGCATGAGCCTGTAATGGTTATTTAACCTTCCAGGGACTAAGTTTCCTACTCTAAATAACATGTGGATTAGATGAGGAGTTGACAAAACCTGAATCCGGCCCACAGCCTGTTTTAGTAAATTTTTGCTGACACACAGCCACACCCATCGGCATTGTCCGAACGGAACGGAGAGTCTCGTAGTTGGACCTTCTGGCCACAGAGTCTAAAATAAGTAGTAGTTTGCTGAGCCCTGGACAAGCTCATCTCTAGACAAAGAACTGTTACCCTAAGAGCGTTCCTACTACCTCTGACCCTGTATGAACACACCTCCTCTCCACCTTAGCAGGGAGGGTGTCTTTTTCATCTTCGTATCAGCCCACTTTATGCCCAAGTAGCAAATGTCATTTGGCAAGGGCTCAATAAATATTTATTCAAGGAATGAAGGAACAATAACATCTCTGACTAGGGCATGAAATTTCTAACCCACAAACATGTGTTAGCACCATCACTCCGAAGTCACAGAGCACTGAGGGCCCTGAGAAGCTAAAGGGAGGAGCAGAAACTTAGAACACGCCAGGGAGAGGGCAATTCTTCAAAGGATGAGTTGCGGCACCGCTTGCTTGCAGTCTGTAACGCAGACGCCATCACTTAAGTACCACGGATGAACTGCACAGATTTAGTCAGAGGCTGTGGCTCAGCCTGAACCCGGAGGCCACAGTAGCAGCCAAGGAAGGGCTCCTGACCACACCACACACCACCCGAACATGCAGCAGAGGGCGCTCACAGCCATTGTTGGAGCCAGCAGCTCTTAGGCACAGAGCAAAAGAGGCCACGATGCCCCTGACTGTGACCCAGCTCTTAAGTGCAACGTCAGTGAGGTTTAGCCAAGGGTTTTGCTTTTTGCAGTCACCTTCCATATTTACACATGAGAGCTGAGGCACCAAGCTAGCTCCACGAGCAAAAGAGATGCTCAGTAAATAACGTATGACAAAGAGCACAGACGTAAGGAAAAGTAGTTCCAGCCTTGGGTCCCCTAGCTCTTATTTAGTTATAGTTATCTTTATAATACACATCATATCCTGAACTACTGCTGCAAAGAGATGAATTAGCCCAACCGGCGTGGCTGAGTGGTTGAGCATCTACCTATAAACCAGGAGGTTACGGTTCGATTCTGGTCAGGGCACATGCCCTGGTTGCGAGCTTGATCCCCAGTGTGGGGGGTGTGCAGGAGGCAGCCGATCAGTGATTCTCTCTCATTGATGTTTCTATTCCTCTCTCCCTCTCCCTTCCTCTCTGAAATCAATAAAAATATATATTTTTTAAAAATAAAAGAGATGAATTAAACATTTATTTCCATAACCTAATAGGTACATGAGTGCAAGGAGTTCAAATGAAATGTGACAGACTGAAGACATAGGTTAGCACTAGAGGCTGAGATTTTTTTTGTTTTGTTCGTTTGTTTGTCAGTCCTCACCCGAGGATATTTTCCCATTGATCTTTTAGAGAGAGTGGAAGAGAACGGGAAAGACAGAGAGAAACATCGATGTGAGAGAAACACATCGACTGGTTGCCTCCTGCACATGCCCCAACCAGGGCCCGGGCTGGGGAGGAGCCTGCAACCAGGGTATGTGCCCTTGACCGGAATCAAACCCGAGACCCTTTGGTTCACAGGTTGACGCTCTATCCACTGAGCCAAACTGGCTAGGGCTAGAGGCTGAGATTTAAATGCGAAGTTTTGTTTCTAGTTATGGCAGCTGGGCCTCTTCCCCGTCTGGGTGGTGGCGTTGTCTTGGGCCGTCTCCTTCAGAAAACCCGGGACAGACTCTTCTCACTGTGCTGCCAGGCCCGGGAGGGCACCCGCACCCTGCGTGGGTGAACCGTCCTCATGAGAGTGGACTGGCCTCTACAGAGGAGGCTCCCCAGGGCTCCCTGGACTCCTGCAGCTGGAGGCCCAGCTTTCAATGGCACACAGAAAGGTTAAAAACCATCTCCAAATAGGAGACTTTTTTCCTTATAGACTTGGGTACCTTCAGGAGTGTCTTTTTCAACAACTTAGCAGAGTCTTAAAGTCCATCACACCTTTAGGCAGACTACCAACGCCTAGGGATCCAAACGCAGGCATGCTGGGCAGGTGGCTGTTTTCCAGAGCAGGATTCAGCTCCAGCAACTGCATCGCCATGGAAACAGACGCTCCAGTATCTACCACTGGTTGCAGTTGAAAGAAATTTAAAGTAATGGATGAAGGCAGCATTGATGAATGGGAAAGTGATGCAGAAGATTGTGGGGGGAGAAAAGGGGGGGGGATTAACTATGTAAGTTCAAATCATGTTACCTTCTCTTCCATCTCACTTCTGGCTCCGGGCGGATTCGGAGGACTCGGAGAACTTGGTGTGTCACTAGACTGAAACGGTAAAGAGAGCGCCTGAGTCACACGCCAGAACAGGAAGCTTTGGGCAGCTAACCAGACACCGTCTGTGCTTGGAAGGGCCGCCCCCTCCTCCACACAGGGCGCAGCTGCCTTCAAAGAGCTGGCAGGGGTCACGGTGGGCACTTTGCTAATGTCCAGACTCCACAGGACTCCTGAGGCCCACAGTGTGCCCTCCCCTCCTCTGAGTCCAACAGGATACCAGCTGGGCTGTCTCCAACCTCAGTCCCTGGTGTTTCCTGCAGCTGGGAGGTTCCGGGGGCTGCCCTACAGCCACGGTACCTGGGAGGCAGGGCTCCGACCTCAGAGCTTTGGCTTTGCTGGCTGCCTCCCACCCCCTTCACCTGCTAAGCCTCCCCCGCTTCTCTCTGAGAAGGAAAGAGGCCCTACCAATGCCACACCCAAAGGGCTGAGCCGAGAAGGTGAATGACCAGAGGAGGAGAAACAACTCAGGAAAGAAGGAAGGAAAAGGAAATGGCTGGAGATTCCCGCCCGTGGCTGGGCCTGCCCTGGGAACAGCCTCAGGTCCGGCACCTGCACCTTCCTGGTGGCCCGCCACACCTTCTATCTGGTATCGCCAATATTTACAGAAGGGTCTATTGTCCCTTCCAGAGCGGTCCTGCCAGCCTGCCCTACCTCAGTCTGTTTTCTGCACCACACTTAGAAGCATCTTTAGAAAACACAAATCAGATTCTGTCACTTCCCTGCTCCAAATTACTCAGAGACTTCCTACTTTAGAGTAGAGTTCACCCATTTCCCGTGGTCTGCAGGATCCGGCCCCTGAACCACGTGCTCCCCTCCATGGCCCCCCAGAGCCCAGCGGCCGCCCTGACCTCCTCCTCAGGACAAGCTCAGCCCCTTCTCTGGGCCTCAGCCTTGCTGCTCCCTCTGCCTAGAGCACGCCCACCTCCTGGTTTGCTTTGGGCAGCGCTGACCTCCTTATCTTTCCACAAGTCACTCACTTTCCCATCACGTGTTTTATTTCCATTTTTCTTTATCAGAAATTACATATATATATATATATATATATATATATATATGATATATACATTTAATTACATATATATATATATATATATATATATATATATGATATATACATTTAACGATTTCATTGATAAATTTGTGTTTTTTTAAATCCTCACCTGAGGATATTTTTCCATTGATTTTTAGAGAGAATGGAAGAGAGAGGGGGAAGACGGAGAGAAATATCAATGTGAGAGAAACATCGATTGGTTGCCTCCTGCAAGTACCCTGACCAGGTTCTGGGCCAGGGAGGAGCCTGCAACTGACGTACATGCCCTTGACCGGAATCGAACCCAGGACCCTTCGGTCCGTAGGCTGATGCTCTATCCACTGAGCCGAACCAACTAGGGCTGAAATTATTATATTGATCTTTGTTGACTTGTATGTTCTCTGACTCTCATTACAACATAAACTACCAGGGCAGCCCCCTGTCTAATCTTGTTCACCTCTGTGATACCACAGCTGGGACAGAAAGCTGGCTGGACAAATGACCTTCCCTCCCCACAGGCGCCAGCACCTTGCATGTCTCAGGTTGTCAGTGACAGTGAGGCCCTGGGTGTCTTTGGGAAACCCCTGCCTAGAGGCTGACGGCTGCTGCACTGGAGGCTGCAGAGGGCACCTCTGGCCACAGGGGGAGGAATGGGCCCATCCTTGCGTCACCCACCACCTACAGGTGTGAGTGCCAGGAGCCATCAGGGCAGGCCCAGGCAGAGATGAGCAACAGGCAGGGGCATCCTTTTCTTTCCTTCCGCACTTTGCTCTGCAAGTTGCTCGTCTTTCTTCCTATCCTTAGGCCATGTTAGCCTAAGCAGGACAACAAGCAGGACTGCTTGGTGGGGGGGATGCCCATTTCAGTAACACTCAACATCACCCGGGCACCTTGGAGGCAGAGTGCGTGATGCTCCTGGGCAGGAAGACTCGGAGCTTTGCCTGGAGAACTCCTCACTCCAGCTCCTCCTTCCAAAAGAGGCCTGAGGGTGTCCCTTCTGCTGCTGGAAGGCCTCGCATTTCAGGATATGCTCACTCTAGTTTTTTCAGTGTCAAAAGACCAAAGTTAGCCCTAGCTGGTCTGGCTCAGTGGTTAGAGTGTCAGCCCGAGGACTGAAGGGTTGAGGGTTCCATTCTGGTCAAGAGCATGTACCTTGCTTGTAAGCTCAATCCCGGCCTGGTTGAGGCGTGTGTGGGAGGCAACCAATCGTTGTGTCTCTCTCACATTGATGTTTCTCTTTCTCTCTCTCTCTGTCTCTCCCCCTTCCTTCCACTCTAAAAAAAAAAAAAATCAATGGAAAAAAATATCCTTAGATGAGGATTAACAACAACAAAAAACCCAACAAATTCAGAGAGGGCAGTGCTGGACCCGTGGCACATTCCACACTCGGTAGCTGGTCTGGTTGAGCTGTGCTGTCTTGTTGACCTACTTCTTTCTTGTCTTATTTCCCTTTAAATTAGTCCAATCCAACAAACGATTACTGGGGAGACAGAGATATGTAAGATGTAGTTTTGTCTTCAAGGAACTCAATGTTTAGAGACGGAGAGAAAACTGTTAGGCGGATGTAGACACACAAGGGCTCCTGCTGTGTAGGAAGTGCTGAGGGCGCACAGCAAAGGCGCAGAGGAGACAGCACAGCTTGGCTTCCCAGACCTGAGTCTCAAGGAGCACGTGGAAGACCCTGGGAAGAGCACGTGCAAAGGGCATGGCCCGCTCCCTCCCCACCCCCACACCCCCCCGCCCCAGGATGGTCCCGCTGCAGATGAAGGCACCTGCCCACGAAGTCCTCTCCCTGGGCCACTCAACAGAAAAGCCTCTCCCCCTTCCCCGTGCCCTGCAGACCCCAGGGTCATTGGCTGCCCCTGTCCACTGCCCAACGGCCTCCCGGGTTATTAGCAGTCGCGTCCTTGCCCCGCGGACCCTCACTTTGTTCTCGGCGTCTGGGAGGATGAGGTCCTGCTGAGTCACAGGTTCCGTGGGACTGGCCAGGAGCGGGTCCCCTTCTAGGCCGGCCTCCCCGCTGTCTGCCCTCTTCATGGGAGTGGCACTGGGCGGCGGCTGCCCAAACTTGATGTTCTTGCCCAACTGTCGCTGGAGAGAAACACAAGAAAGACCTGCTGAGGCGGGGAAGCAGCTCGCAGGAACCGCAGCCAGGGTCCCTGCGGCTCTGGTTGGCCTGAGGCACGTTCTGCGCACGGCTGCTCTCCAAACACTGCGCCAGTGACCGCGAGGCAGCCCTACAATAAGCGAGTGCGTTTCCGGCCTCGGTTCCTTTCCTCTCCCGCCTTCCAGCCGCGAGCTCTTTGCACCCAGCCACCCTCTTTCATGGAGATGTCACTTTTCCAGGGGGCAGAAAGCCCAGTTTCCGGACCAAAAGTTGGGATACGTGTTAGGACAAAAAATGTTTGACCTCAAAATCAATTTATAGGAAAGGTCTGTCAAAAGTACAAAAATTGTATAGAAAATGGTTCCATGAAATGCAGGAACTCCTGGGGGAAATCCAGACCCTAGTGGCTGCAACGAGGGAACTGTCAACCCCCTTTGGACACATTCCCCCGGCATAGCTCTGCTTTGGCCACCTCTCTCACCAGCTTGAACGCCATGTTCTGGCCACAGTGGGTACCACTGCCAGGGCCAGCGCCTCTTTCCACGGTCAATGCTGAAGCCCCGGGAGGGACAGAATCCTGTCCTGCCTCCGGGACCTCTGCTTTGCCCTCGCTGTAGCTGCCCACTGTGAACCAGGGGCCGGCAGACACCACGTGGGGAAGGGACAGAGAAGTCGGCAGGAGAAAAGCACTGAGGAGGGGCTGCATGCCAGTGGGTGTGGCTCACCCGGTAGGGAGAAGGGGTGGGAAATCAGGGGGTACCAATCAGGAAGAAAAATAGTCAGTATTTGGAATTAGAGAAAAGCCAGATTAGAAAAGGAAATATATTCCCTGAAGAAAAATAAAAACAATAGCTAAAGAAAGGGCAACATATTTAAGGGGCCGTGGGCAGAGAAAATGAACGACATTCAGGAAGAAAAGGCCGTAAGCATGGCGGTCTGGGAGACCACGGCATCGAGGGTACTGTGCAGACCACTTACGGCCTTCGTCTAGAGCAGGGTTTCAGCCTCGGCACCTGACCTTCTGGGCTGGTAATTCTTTGCTGTGGGGAGCTGTCCTGTGCACGATGGGCTGTTCAGCAGCACCCATGGCCTCTGGACACCAGATGCCAGTGGCAAGCCCTCTTTCCCCAGTAGAGGCAACCAACATTGTCTCCAGATGCTGTCCCATGTCCCCTGGGGGGGGGGGGGGGGGTAAAATCGCCTCCGGCTGAGAACTGCTGCTCTAGATCTAGGTACCTGGGTCTCATAGTCCTCTTATGCCTCAAAAAAAGAAAGAGGAGGTGATCTGATTTTTATCTTTAATTGGGTTAATATTTAATCCCACAGAGCTGCAAAGAACCTTAGCAATCATACAGTCCAACCCCTCACTCTGCAAACAAATCAGCGGTCCAGCGGGGAGAGGTGACTGGCCCCAGCTTATGGGAAGAATGAGTGGCCCCAAAGGAATTTGAATCTAGGTCTTCAAAAACCGCTTTCAGTGTTATTTTCGTTGCACGCCACTGGCTCTTATAAACTTGACATCGCGCTTCCTTCTCACAGGGGCAAGAATAAAAACACGAAGCAGCATTTTTATACCTTACTGAAGTTTCCTGGCGGAGAAGCCCTCAAAGGGAATGCCCCTCCTCCCTCTGAACTCAGGGTACCAAACCCACCCACCGCTGCCCAGCTCCCCCTTAGCCTTGCACGATGTGTGGTGAGATTGCAGAGACATGAACGAGATGAGCCTAAGACTCCCCCTCCACCCCCCGCACCCCTCCCCGCACCCCAGCATGCCAAGTCAGGCGCACAGGAAGACAGGACATGGTGTGACCTGAGCCTGGCTCCCCAACCCCACAGGGAAGGCGCACATATCGAAGCCTGAGGCCAGCCAATGAAGTACAGCCTGAGCAGCCTGAAAGGGTTTCGGGGAGGAGAAGGCTGAAAAGGGTGTCTTCCAAAAACAAGTTTAGCAGGAAGCGGCAGCGAGTACCCACTCTGAGCAGATCAATTCGCAGGCACATTCGAACAGCCGATGGAGTCAGACAAAGAGACACGGTGTAACAGTCACGGCCGTCTCACTCTGCTGCCCGGTGGGAAAGGGCTGGGAACTGGGCAGAAGAGGAGGGAATGGTTCCTGTGTGCGGGAGTCCTGGCCCAGCCTTGGGTTCACCCGCCATCCCTCCTCTAGGACTGTTGGCCAAGACTGAAAACGGTTCTAAACCCTGAGACACACACCTCCAGTTGTCAGGCTCTGCCGTCCACTCGGGCTCCTGGAGGAGTACATGAGGGGACTTCTATTCACAACGGAAAGAATAATTCTGTAACCAGCTCGCAAGGAGAACCTGGCCTAACACTCTAGTGCCATTTCGTAGGGATTTTTGCCACCATCACAAAAAGGAAGGAATGTGCCGAGATTTTACTACCTTGGTGCCCCTTTTAGAATACTGGTGTTGGTCCACCTGATCCTTAGGGGACAAAAAAGAACATGGCAGAATGGAATCACAGTCTCCCAGAGATGGCATGGCTACCATGGCTACCAATGGGAAAGGAAAGAGAAAATGGAAATCAAACCAAACCAAAACTGAGTAAGAACAGGACAGAGAAATAAGGACCACGGGACAAAGCTGGGAAAGGGACAGAGCAGTGTTAAGAAATGAAATGGGAGGTTAGAGAAAAGAGGCCAACAGAGAGGAGGGTGCAGGGTCCGAGGAAATGCATGGAGAGGAGGAGTGACGAGGGCCTAGGAAGAGCTGCACACCTGACTGCTGGTACCAGCTGAGGCTGGTGTGTGTGTGTGTGTGTGTGTGTGTGTGTGTGTGTGTGTGTGTGTCGGGGGGCGGGGGGATGCAGATATCAAAGGATTGATATGTCACCGACATGTTCATCCTGCCAGAAGAAACACATGCTGTTGCCTTTGTCAATGATAATGTGCATCTCCATAAAGCAGCTGATTCAAATTCCCTCCAGAGAAAATGAGTGCAGGCTGGTGGCTAGGGGGCCTAGGAGGAGGCAGTGGGGTTGGAGGAGGGGAGGACTCAGGTCATCAAAGAAATGATGGCCACCGTTTAGGGACAGGGCAAACCTCTGTGCCCAGACCAAGGGCTGTCTCTTCACAGACACTCCCTGAAGCTGTCAGAAATAAGACCTACGGCCAGGCAGGACTTAGGGACCAAGGCCAGGCAGGACTTGGGGCCCAAAGCCATGGTGGCTGATCCTCAGGCTCTCGAGGTCAAGGCTCCTGCACCTGCACACTCTCCCTTCTCTGCGTTCCTGCTCCAAATGCTTCCTTCAGCTGACTGGACGGAGATGGGGCTGTCACCACACTCTGCGACTTGTTGACAATGAAAACGGGACTGCTAAAACCTACTTGGCAATCTTAGGTGTGGTGTGAACTGAATAGAGGGATAAGTGTGGCTTTTTTTTTTTTTTTTGGTGACTATTGCTGCCCACTATTCAGGCATTGTTACAGAGAAACTGATATAAGCCATCACTGAAAAATGGACTGCTAAGGCGAGCCTGCCCTTACGTTACAGGGGAAGAAACTACTACCACTCCCTCCACCTTCCCACCCCCCGGCCTCCCCAATACCCATGGATCCTTATACACCCTGCGATCATAGCCAGAGGGGAGAGGGGGAAGCTGTGCCTATCCTGTGAGTCCATGCTGCGTGTGGCTATGAATGCTGTTACTGTTGAGCCTGGAATGTGAGCGAAAAGGGACTATATTTTATTCACTCAAACTGGGCCACTTTGTTGTCATATGGAATGCTGGAGAATGATGCTATAGGAATGCACATCCATATTGATGAGGCCCTTCTCATGGTGTGGGAATTCCAAGCATGTCATATCCTGCAGCTCGCACACTGCCAGTGTTTAGAGTCCCCCAGATTTCTCATTCTTCAGACCACGTCTGCAAGAATCAAGTGGAGGAAAAATGAAGTTGCTGTCTTCTTGAGCGAACTATGGATACTCCCACAGTTAAAGAAAGCTAAAAAAAAAAAGAAGTGAAAAAAAGAGAAAGCATATGGATTTAAAGCCTGCTCCATGAAGAAGTGGCTAAGAGCAGGTGTTTATTCCTTGCGTCCTCGATAGGTGTCAAAATCCTCAAGCGAATTACACTTTGGCATTCTTACATGAAATCCAGCTCAGCAGGAGACAGTAGCTACTGAGGATGGAGGTTTTCCCTCCCGAGCTAAACAGCTTGTGGACTGATGGGCCCAAGCATTTCTGACAAAGGGGTGGTATAATTCCACAAACTGTCTGCAGGCTGCGACTGTGGTGTTCCGGAGGTTTATCATTAGTTGGTAGATACTTCACAGCCCGGTCTGATCTAAGATATGCAGGTACCTCTCTGATCTGTGCTCTGGCAGCGGCAGGAAGGAAACAGGGCCATTGTAGTCCAAATGCAAGGAAGGGCGGAGCTGACAAAGCCACTCGGTGCTCCACCAGATGAACAGTGACTCAATCGTTCACCACAGACGTTTGTGCAGGTGGCCCATTGACTCTACTCAGAAAAGTGTAGGCTGGTGTATGCTGTATTCAGTCGCTCCGTACTCAAGAGATACTAACTGGCCCCGGTGCAACACAGGACAGTTTTAGCTGAGATGACGACATGTGGCCACTAGAGGGCAACCTTTCCAAATGCATTCATTTACAGGCACTGTTCTGGGGGTTCCCAAGGGCTGGGAAGTTTCTTAAGCCAGAGAAAAATGTGTTTTCTTTTGTTTTATATGGCATTCCAGGAAAAATCTAATTTCAAAGGAATGTCTTAATAATGGAGGCTAATGAGCTTGCCAAGACATTTACTGTCAAATAGGTTTATCCATTACTCGTCTCTCTCTCTTTAAAATAAACATACGCAGATACACAAAGACAATTTCAGACATCAAAAAAAAAAACATACATGCCTCTGACATAACTAAACACCCTCATTCCATGCTGGAGCCTAGGAAGGGCGGTCTTTTATGCTGCTTACTAAGCATCAATGCCAGCATAACATTGTCATGAAAAAATGCAAAGCATTCATGCAACTTAATACAGTTAACTACTATTTCTACGACTTACCAGGAACATACTGCTTAGTCGACTGAAAAATAAAGCACAGTCTTTTGGGGGTGATACAGTTACATCTTATGTCACTCCAAAAATTACATTTCCTATGACAATGGTCCCCATTTCCCTCCTCGAAGAGCAAAGCCCTTTATTTTTTTAAAAAAATATAACTATAGAGCTGTAAGGAAGCTCATGATTCCATACAACAGAAGCAAAATTAGGAAAACCTCGTATGAGTAGCTATCAGCAAAAGAGAGCACACGAATTATATAGTTATTTTACTTTACTTACATTTTCTCTTCCTGTGTTAATTAATAGAATTGTAGCTTCAGGGAAGTTGGTTGTTTTACATTTTATTAATTGTGAGATCAGATTCTTTAAAATTGTGCCTAACAGGATGAATAGGCAGTCGCACATTGCACTGAGTTTCTACATTTTCAATACTGTAGAATCCCATACCATTTACAACTCCAAGTCCACTTGGCGTGGCGGCGGCATGTGCTGTGATGTACTAAGTGAACTACTATCTAAGTTTAAAGAACTCATAAAACACAGCTGTTTCGTGGACTGGAATCTGTAAGTCACTCCTCTTAGAGAGCAGATATGATAAGCCAGGGGTTCAGAGAGCACGGCCAGCAAGAGCCAAGAAGGTAGCCTGGTTAGGAAGTGGCGGAACCTGAAGGCAGTGCCCAGGTTAGCTCTGGGGCAGGACGATGGCCTTGGGCAGTAGGAATAAGGACCTGGGTGCGTTGGGCGCGGTGCCAGGGTGTGGGCTAGTTCCCTGCTTGCCATATGCTGCATTCGGCTGAGAGTGTGTGGGGAATATGTGACCAAACTCTGATCAGTAGAAGCAAGAACATTTCTAATGTTCAGTAGAAGCAAGAACATTTCAAGAAAACAGAAAATTTGAGTACAATGCTTCATCTTGTCAGCAGCTACTCAAGCCAGCTGTTCCCCCCCCCCTTTTTTTTTTACTCACTCACTCACTCACTCTTGCAGACTTACAGACAGAGGGAAACCAGCACACCAGAGTCCCCTGTTCATGATGTGGATCGCCTCCAGGCACCCTGTCTCAGAGAAGTGCCTGCTTAGGCACTTCTGTCAGGTGAGTGAATTCTTCCAAGCAATCAGGCAAACCTACACAGTCACTCCCTTGCTTTTCCCGGAGTCCCCATGAGCTGAATCACTTTTGGTGAAGAATTATTTTATTATACAGTTGACCCTTGAACAATGCAGGGGTTAGGGGCACCAACCCCCATGCAACTGAACATCCACACATAACTTCTGACTTTCCCAAAACGTAACTACTTATAGCCTACTCTTGACCAGAAGCCTTACCAGTCACATAAACTGATTGTTAACACACATTTGTATGTTTTGTGTATTATATACTGTATTCTTACAATAAAGGAATCTAGAGAAAAGAGATATTAAGAAAATCATAAAAGAAATACATTTACAGTATTTATTAAAAAAAATCTGCACATAAGTGGACCCACACTGTTCAAACCCTCACTGTTAAAGGGTCAACTGTACTTCCATGATTAAGGAGTTACCACCTGAGTTAATTTTATGTAGGAAAACTGCCCAGCTCTGCAGCTGAACAGGGGTGGGGTGCCCTAAGAGCTTCCCGGTATTCCTCTGAGGCCAGGTGGCTCGGGGGAGCCAGATTTATGCGCACAGCAGAGTAAGAGGCTCAGCATTCACGCTCCAAGCAGGGAGGCTTGGAGAGTGAACACTTGCTGTGCAAACCATCCACAGACAGTCAGTCCTGAACTTGGGGATTATGGCCAACACTTCACGGTTAATGACTCCTCCTATCCAAGTCATGCAGCTTCTCGTGGGTACCTGTCCTCGTAATGCCCACTCAACACGGAGGGAACAGTTTGAGAGAACAGGAGAGGGGGTGTTATGAAGGTGGGTACAACGGTGACAATGTACCTCTCACAGGGGACAGAAGGCTTAGAGAACTGACTCCAGTTACACACACAAAAAAGGCGAAAATTCTCCCCAGGAGCTCCCACTGGACCTCCCCATCCATCACTCAGGGCTAAGCTGGGCATCTCCCCACTCCCTCCACAGCCAGGCCCTGCTGCGGCTCTAACCTTCCAGTCTCAAGCTGTCTTACCTGAAGAGTTTTGACTTTGCCCAGGATGTTGTCCTGTGACATTGCTTGAACTGTCTGCTCACTTTCTGCTCCCCCATCAGGGATAAAAATACTGTCATGGGAAAACGCCCGGGCTCCCATAGAATAGTTGAAGGACCTGGAATGCAAATCATGTGCTTCGTTTTATTAGGATGATAAAATTTCTTTTGGCAACTAGTGTCCTGTTCCTCCTGATGCGGGGACTCCACCCACATCCCTGTCTCGCCCAGCTCTGTGTCCTTTTCTGCTATGGGTCAGCCAAGGAGCTGGGCAGACGGAAGGGTCCCACAGGAATAAGGGAGCATGCCTCCAGCACAGCAGCGTTCCAGGGCCGCTCACGGAGAACGCAGGCAGCTCTTTATTTGTCGAGGCCCCGCAGAAGGCACTGCCGAAACCTTAACTGGAGGGGCCTTCCCCTGAGGAGCCATCACTATCGGTTCTACCCCAGCAGGTCCTGTCAACCAGCACTTTTTAAGGAACATTCAGATCTAGAAGGAGTAAGAGACACGCATTTCTTTCTTTCAGATTACAATAAAATTAGAAGACAGCTCTATACATCTAAACCAGTGGTTCTCAACCTTCCTAATGCCGTGACCCTTTAATACAGTTCCTCATGTTGTGGTGACCCCCAACCATAAAATTATTTTCGTTGCTACTTCATAACTGTAACTTTGCTACTGTTATGAATCATAATGTAAATATCTGATATGCAGGATGTATTTTCATTGTTACAAATTGAACATAATTAAAGCATAGTGATTAATCACAAAAACAATATGTAATTATATATGTGTTTTCCGATGGTCTTAGGCGACCCCTGTGAAAGGGTCGTTCGACCCCCAAAGGGGTCGCGACCCACAGGTTGAGAACCACTGATCTAAACCAAGGACTAGAATTGCTGATAGGGTCTACAGGAATAAAGAATCTCTCTCGCAACTGCCTAGAAATTCAGAGAAAGGGGAGAGAATGTGGATCGGGGCAATCCTGATGGGCCTCCTGCACTGATCAGCTTACAGGAGGCAGGTGGCCAACAATAAACACTTCAGGTGAAGGCTTGGGGTTCAAGAAGTCCGGACTTCTACCTGACAGGGAAGTAGAGGCAAGGCGACCTGTAGGAACGGGAAGCAGCAAAAGCCAACTGCTCTTCCTTGATCTGGGAAACAAACTTATTTCTGGGGAATCCATATCCAGGCTGTTCACAGGGCAGGCAGAATCGCATGCCCTTCATTCAGGAGGCAAGGCAGGCACTCTTCCATGTCCCCCAGGGTGACAGAATGCCCCTCCCCTCTTTCCTCCCCTTCCCAGAAAGGGGCCCATTGGAGGTTGTATCAGGGACCAAGTGCCAAATGCAGTGGGCAGGGTCCCAACCAAGGGAAGACCTAGTTGGGCAGACTGAGCACCAAATCTAATTTGCCAAACCACAGGCAGCATGGTGAAAAAGCATATGAGGCTAAGAAACAAAAGACCTGGATGTGAGCCTCCCGGCTATGTAACAAAGATGAGGTCCGGAAAGGCCAAGAGAGAGACTTGATCAAGACAGAGCTGAAACAGAACTCAGGCTCCTCACTCACAGCTGACAGGGTCTTCCATTTGAACACAATGTTCATAGATGTCTGGATGTCTTTGGGAGCAAAGATGCTATGTGAACAACAGCTGCTGGACCATGACAAGACAGTAATGTTAAGAGAGTCCCAGTTCACCCACAACTGCAAATCTTATACAAAATAAGGTAAACCGATTTTATTGCTTAAACACCAAATCTGTTAATACCAAATAGGATGCCAGCATCCATGAATTTTTTTCATATTTACATAATACTGACCGAGACTTTTTTACTGTGGTAAAATACAATATATAGAACATAAAATTTACCATTTTAATTATTTTTTAAAATTTTGTTTTATTGCTTAAAATATTACAAAGAGGAGTACATATGTCTCCTTTTTTTTTCCCCCTTGACCTTCCCCTGGACTCCCCTACCCCCCAGTGTCTTGTGTCCATTGGTTATACTTATATGCATGCATACAAGTCCTTCGGTTGATCTCTTACCCCCCCACACCCCCAACCCTTCTCGGCCTTCCTGTCATTTTAATTATTTTTAAGTATACAGTTTAGTACCATTAAGTACATTCATATTGTTATTCAACTATCACGACCATCCGTCATCCTAAACCGAAACGCCCATACTCATTCAACAATAACTCTTCATTCTCCCTTCCTCCAGCCCCTGATCACCATTATTCTCCTTTCTATCTCTATGAAATTAGACTCTCCCATGTACCTCATATAAGTGGAATCATATAATATTTGTGCTTTTGTGTCTGTTTCACTTAGCATAATAGCCTCAGGGTTCATCCATGTTGTAGCATGTGTCAGAATTTCATTCCTTTCTAAGGCTGAATAATTCTGGGATACACACACACACACACACACACACACACACATCACATTTTGTTTATGCATGTACATTTGAGTTGTTTCTACCTTTTGGCTATTGTGAACAATGCTGCTGTGAGCACTGATGTTTTAATCAAGATTTTAAAAAATGTATGAATGAAGCATTATGACGCATAACTATCTGTAGACATGGCTGAAAGAGTAGGTAGGTGTTCCATAAGTCCTCATTTCACACCAAAGGTTTGATATCACTTCCATATCCTCTACCCACATTAAATAGTCACTATCTATAAAGATTAGTAGAGACTATAGGACAAAAGAAGAAAAAGGAGGAGGAGGAGGAGGAGGAGGAGGAGGAGATTAAGGAGGAAGAGAAAGAAGAAAAGAAGAGAGGTGGCAGGAGGTGGAGGAAAATGAGAAGAGAAAAAGAAGAGGAAGAGAATCCTTCATGTCTAAAATCCTGGGAAATTCTGAAATGCAGAACTAGTACTTGAAAAGCTGATCTGGGTGTCTGATTCTCAGAGCAGCAGCCCCTGGGTTCCATCTCCACCCCTCCGCCACAGGAGGTTTAAACACCAGGAACAGGACCTACTGACTGGAGAACAGAGGCTTCTACATCTAAGAGAAGGTGTTGTATTAGCACTAAGACGACTTGGAGTGGCTTAGCGGGTCCTACGTCTTGGTACATTTAAGCCCTTGCACCTAAGTCAATATGGCTTTGGAAGGACAGGAGAAAAGAGACGCTGCTGTTTCTCCCCTCCTCCACCTCCTCCTCTTTTACTTCCCCAGAGATCGCAGAACTGTCATAATTCTACCTAGAAGCTATAAGAAAGCGTCTTAAAAATCAATAATACAGTACTTATGGGCACACTTTGGCAGCACATAGACCAAAACACAGGGTTGTTTGAAGGGCCTAAAAGTTGTGAGTGATCTCAGGAAACCCAGCTGAGGCCCGGATGGGTTATCCCACTCTGCTCTAACGCACAGACTTTATTATGCTAATGATCATGCCAAACCAGTGGTCGGCAAACCGCGGCTCTCGAGCCACATGTGGCTCTTTGGCCCCCTGAGTGTGGCTCTTCCACAAAATACCACATGCGGGTGCGCACATACAGTGGGATTGAAACTTTGTGGCCCATACGCAGAAGTCGGTTTTTGGCCTGGGCGAGTCTATTTTGAAGAAGAGGCGTTAGAAGAAGTGGGGGTATGTTCGCTGAGGTCGACCCCTCAGATTGAGGACGTTTTTAGCAAGGGCCAGCTGAGGAGTACCCTAATTAAGTTAATAACAATGTACCTACCTATATAGTTTAAGTTTAAAAAATTTGGCTCTCAAAAGAAATTTCAATCGTTGTACTGTTGATATTTGGCTCTGTTGACTAATGAGTTTGCTGACCACTGTGCCAAACGCAACATAAAGTTCATACTTTTTAAGCTTTTATTTTCATTATTATTTTCTATGTTGAAAGCATTTAAGACTTACAAAAACACTGCAAGTGTAGCGTGAAGAACTTTTGTTTTCCTAGCTCAAGGTGCTGGCATGATGCTCTCCCTCCTGAGCCAGGCAGGCCGTGGTGGCTCATACATTGGAAGATGTGAGAAACCGCAGGGAAAAGTGGAGGAGTCTCTGAGGGCAACTGAAGGGCCAGGGAGTGTATCATTGGTCCTGTTGCCTTGGCTTTACCCTGAGCCGACTGTAACATGATTGACATCTATAGATGATCTTCAACTGAGGTCCTCTCCAATTCTGCTCTCTAAACATGAGTTCATCTTAAAGCAGTTAACTTGCCAGCTCAGAAACCTCCATTGGTTCCCTGTTGCCCAAACCCTACCAGATGGAGCTGCCATGGTGGCTTACCCTTTCAGGCTCTTCATAGTGGGGCTCTAACCTACTCTGGGCAGCCAGTTTCCTTATCTGTAAAGGGGGATGACAAGAGGTCCTCCCTCGTCGATTTTTTAGGATTTAAAGGAATTCTGGTATGTAAAGCACTTAGAACAGTGTAAAAGCTTACGTGTTACCCATTATCATCAAATGTCACCCTGCTTCAACCCCCACCACTCAGTTCCCCAATGTCCTCTCTGGGCTCTATCAGTGCACCGGCTCTTCCTCTCCAGGGACAGCCCAAGGCCAGTCTCTCAGTTCAGGTCCTACCCACCCTTCAAGGTCCGGCTCAAGCGTATCAACTCCACACAACCTTTTCTGCTTCCCTGGAAGAAAGGGATCTCTTCTGTCCCCCAGAGCCCCATGCCTGCATTTCTTGCTGTTTCATGTTATAGTTACTATAATCATGCCTTAAATGAGAGGGAAAACAAAAGTGCTCTGCATATTGTAAAGTGCTACGCAGATGTGACTCTAATAATAATGGCATCATCGTATCTCCACCACACTAGGAGTTGCATGAGGGCAGGGATCACATGTATGATCTTTCTTTCTCCCAAAATCCTTTATACAATAAAATTTGTGATGAGTAAATGATTAATTGCAGGGAGCGGCTATAGGGTTAAGCCTCGGACTGACCTGTTGGTAAAGCCACAAAACAAGTCCCAGCATAGAGAGCACAGCCCTCTTAGCATAATTAGGCTTGACCTTATGAGGCTCCCTAGATCTTATCTGGGAAGCTAATGGGCTGTGGGAGGTGCAGCAAGTGCTGCCAAAACAAGTGAAAACTCACAAGAACATTGTAACTATGGTGACCACTACCTTGTTTACCTCTGGCTATAAAA